CTAGGGAATTTTAAAGGAAAATGAAATATGCTTAATGTTTGACAAAATCTTACATGTTTAGATTGTTCAAGGTTTTATGTCTAAACTGATAAAGGAACTGAGTTTGAAAAAATAGGGAACATTAATTCTCACAAGCTTATTTTAGTTCCCAATATCCCCTTTACTTCCCTCACTATCATTCCCTACCATTTTCCAAGTTCCAAACAGACTTTTAGCGTATGTCCGGATCATGGAAAGTGCTAACCTTCTAAGGAATGGGGGAAAATGAGAAGTAAATTTATGTTCATATGTTTTGTTTTGTTTTGTTTTGGAAGATACAAATGAAATGCAAAATGCCTGATTTTTATAATTTTAAATATATATTCTGTATTTAAATTTATTGGTCTCTATACAATTTTTTTTTATCCAATCTGTTATGATACTCTCAAATTTCTTTCACTAGCATTTCCCGGGCTCCAAATGGACCCTTTGTCCCTTAATTTAAACATGGTGTCAGTGTTTTCTTCATTATTAAGGCTACTTGCTTTCCCGACACAATGTTTGAGTAGTTGACACATTCCTGTGTACAGGCTCCTTTTGTGCTGTGCAGATTATTTAGGAAGGCGGAGTTAAAACAGGATGAAGTTGCTGAAACTTCAAATTCTGATGAGGTGAAGTCACTTGCTGAAGGTGAACCTTCTGAAGGTTTGACTCCTATGGTCATCTCTGGCCACATCAATGCACACCCATTGACACCAGAGAAGAGTTTTGAGGAGGAAGCTCGTGGTGGTGGTTCTCTTTTCCCTATCGAAAGTAACAGCAATAGTTGTATTGTTGATAGTAAAGAAGATCAAGTATTTGACATTACTTCTCTTCCGGTGACTAGAAAAAACTTTACTTTTCCATCTTGGTTTATTTTTTTTTTATTGTATAGGTTAGTTATTTACATCCCTTGTTTTACATTGCAGGCTGATCCAGAGCTTGAAGCGTTGAAATACTTTTGCGACCCTTCAGCAGAGCCCATATTTTCTCCCCCATATGCAATGCCAGGTTTTGGATCTACATACGGCTTGTATGGAGAGGTCACAAATGGAATTATGAATAATAATGATATCCAATTTGAGTATGGGACTAACGTTTTTGACCCAAACGAGTTTTTGAACATGGCTGCCCTTGTCAACTCAGACGGTGAGTCAGAAGCAGAAGTTACTCAAAGGCTGGAAAGCGGAAGCCCTCTTCAGGTTCTTCTACTTTCTAATTTTGGGGAAATTAGGAAGTATAGAAATGTGGGGAACTACATAATTTTTTTTCTTATATCTGTGCGAACTTATCTCATTTACTTATCTCTATTATATGAAGACTAAGGAATATGAACATATAACAAAAACATTAATGATATTTCATTTTCATTTCTTTTTCCGATGTAAAACCAAACACAAGAATATATATAGCATTTTGTTCCTGTCCCGCATTTTCTGAGATCCAAGCATACTGATAAAGATTCTTATTATGCCGTTTGTTTGTGAGAAACTGGTTTACGGGTATATTTGGTTTCTTCTGCCGTGAAGTAAAATCCTAATTTCTTGTCTCTTTCAGGCTGATGTAGGTTGTTTCGTAAATCAACTGTTTGTGACAAATAATCAAGAGGGGGTGCTTCCAAGACAGGTTAATTGTGCTTCAAATCCATATTTTGGCGATTTCACTAATCCAACTTTGGGAAGTGATCACCAGAACTGGAATTTAGATCTCCAGGACAATAATTATTATGGAATGGGTGATTTATCTTCTGTTTCTAGTGGGATTGAGGCCCCTGAAATGGTATACTTTCAACCAGAGTGTGCTGTCAATGATGGCACCATTTCTGGACCTAGAATAAAATTAAGGTCCAGACAGGTGCAGAATCAACCAGGTGATCATCAGCAGTTAGCTGAACAAGGCACCGCTAATCGGAGAATCCGTTTGCTAAAGAAATTTCAAGTTGGACCTGTTGAATGTATCCGGCGCATAGACTCAGATCAGGCCGAAAGTGAACAATCAGGAATAACTGATGTAAGCTCCCTCTCAATAATGAAACCTAATCATTTCCATGCACTTGTCTGGTATTGTAACTTTTTTTTTTATTTGACTGGGCAGGATAATACAGATTCCAAAGGAGATGCTTCCAATGCCACTAAGATGCAGAACACAATTTTTGAAGGTTGTGGGAAAGATGACAGTGAAGTGGCTACAACCGCAAAAGCGCAAGGTGAAAGGATTGCCTGTGCATACCCAAAGATGTCATTGTGCTCTGCTATTTTCATGCCCAAGGTACTTGTGGCTGTAAGCCTGTTTGCAGTTCTTGTGGGCGGCTTGGTATGCTTTAGCCTCTAGAGTCTGCTTTGGAAAAAAGAGAAGCAAGCTGTCTGCATTGCACATGAATCATTGTTTGTGCATCAAGTCCTCAGTGTGTAGCTTGAGTCAGCGAAGAACTCTCATAACTTTAATAGTATTATTATTTTTTAATTCTGAATGGGTTGCAGGACTTTAAATGACATTCGGTAGGTATGCTTATTGTGTAATATAAAAGTAGATAACTCTTTTAATTTGGAATCCATTGTGAATCTAGTTTTTTAGCAGAGCTACAAAGTGAGGATGCTTTTCTATTTTTGGTCAATTCCGTTGTGATTCTTCCATGTCGAAGTAATTTTTTGTGGGTAGTTTTGTAGATGAATAAATTCAGTGTATATACCAAATACTTCTTTTATTTCTTCACACTCTCTTCACATTGAAATTTTGCTATAATATGATTTGATGCAATATTTACGGAAAAAGTAGTAGGGGTAAGGAATAATGTAGAAAAAGTAAGTGAAAGAGTATAAAAGAGAAGTTAAAAAGAACAAAGGGTTAAGATAATTGTGTATTTTAATAAGGAAAGTTTATCAAAAGTGTAGAAAAAACTTAGATACATCTAAAAAGGAAAATGGAGCTAGCGTTTCGGTAGTGAAGGAGTATATACAGCACCTATATTTCACGTTTTTTGATGCAAAACTTTGATCATTTATCAATATTTTAGGGTATGTTTGGATGACAATTTGAGCTCAAAAGAGCTAAAATTTGTAAGATCTAAACAATTAAATGACATGTAGCCTTGTTTGTGTAACCGGTTCATTTGAAAGGTTACACATAATAGTGTTTCAATTCGGTCTTTTAATTTACTCAAACTTATGTCAACTCTAGCCTCCTATTATTCAAATTTAGTGTTATCTTCTTATCTTGATTATATTAAAATATTTATATTTGTATTAATTTTACATTTTTCAATCATTGTTTATGCTGTATTGTCAAACAAATTGATTTTATTCAACTAACATTCCAATTTTGTCAAATTTGGAGGCTCCCCTCGAAAAATAAGTTGAATATGGCATATACCAATATAGTCTCTCCAAATATTATGGTTATACAAATAAATCGGATGAATAGCACATCATTTAGGTTCTTGAATTATTCAGCCGTCATGTTTGCAACAAGCCTCGCAGAGCCGAAAACATTAGGGAATGATTTAGGAGTTGTTAACTTTTTCTAGATTAAGTGATATTTGTATATGAGCTTGTTTATTTTGTAAGGTGAAAACGAATCGAGTAAAACAATCAATTTTTTATTATTGTTAGATTACAATGCCAATAAGAAACTTCATTTATTAATATGAATATATTCCACAATTGATTTAAATTTTTTAGAGCAAATGTCTTAATAGACGTTTTACCAAATGTTTAAGTCATGTTTTCAATTAAATCGTAAGTAAACATGACTGAGTGGCCGAATGATGAAGTCAACATTGTCATTAAATCCATTAAGTCGAAAGTAAATAACTCCTAAGTTCAAAGTAAAGGGCCCCTTAGTGTCACTATGGTACCTATTTCATATCATTAAATAGTTGAAGTATAAAATTGTATTAGTAGCAATACATATAGTTATGGTGCCTTCTATGCTTATAGATATTCCATTTGATTCGTTTTGTTTATGACCAATGTTTCAACAAGTGCAATTTAGGGTGCGAATCAAGCGAGTCGAGGATGAGTTCGACTTGAATCAAGGTGGGCTTGATAAAGAAAGACCAACTTCGAGTCGAGTTTAAAACATTTATGGCTTGGTTCAAGTTAAGTTCGAGTTCGAGTTGTATTTGAGGTTTACCTATTCTATGAAATGAATTATTTTTAAGCAAAGACTTTGATTTGATAAGCATTTAAACACATATGTGCAATCATTAATAATTTTTTTAAATATGAAAACATTGTTTTAAATTTCTCCTAATAGTTGCCTCTTATATTTTAAGACTCACTTTGCCGCCATCTTTAAATTTAAGATGAACAAAGTTGAATTAGTCTTACTTAAATCTGATTGAGCGTTGCCTCAGAATGCCTATAATCTCTATAACACTTTCAAAACATTATTTAAAACGATAGACAAAATGTGACTTTTAGTATACCTTTAATTAAAGATAAGTACAATTTTATGTATTGATTGTTATTAGTTTATATGGATATATGATGTCATGTCATATGTATGAATCTAAAATAATTAACATTAACTCATAGTTACATAACTTGTAAATTTTTCAGTCGAGTTTGTATATAATTTGAGTTTGACTTAATTTGATTCAAGTAGAGTTCGAGTTAGAATCGAATAAGAGTTGAGTCGATCTCCGGTCACTTAAATGTCTATTTGTTTGATTAGCACCCTTAGTATAACCATCGAAGTTTTTCTAAAGGCTGATAACGTGAAAACATAAATATTTGTGAGAAAGCATTTAATTGCAGGAAATAACTCTGTCAAACCATTTAGGGCCTGTTTGGATGAAGTGTTGTCAGGTGTTAGTAATTGAAGTGTTAGTAAGTGTTTGCAGAGGCCCGGAAGGGAAGGTAAGTGTCAGTGTAAATCATAAACTGGTCTTGTTTGGGAAAGTTAAAATGGAAATGTTTCCAATTAAATTGACAATAATGTCCTTATCTAAATCCTAAAACCAAAATAAATTGGAAGCTCAACTTAAATCCATCCTCCGTCTCAATAATTGGATGCCAATTGGAAGGTCTCGAGTTCGAAACCCGCTAGACACATAAGGGTTTGAAACTCAATTGAGTGAGTTTTAGCCGTTGGCCCCGACCCCCTCCTGGCCCCGACCCCCTCCTGGAGTAAAGAAAAAGGAAGAAGAATAGCAAAAACTCAAATTTCTCTCCAATTGAAACTGCTATTTACGAGAAGAAGATGCCACGTAAATTGATCCAAGAAGAAAATTAGCTGATCAAATTCCTCTCTATCCAAAGGTGTTCTCTAACACTTTTTATACCCCTCAACACCCTTCGATACTTCCATTATTAAAACCCCTCAACACTCAATCCAAACAGTAGTATTAGAATACATCCGTGGGAAAAATTAAGCAAGAATGGATAGCTATTAATGATCAAATTTATTGCTGGTGATGAAATGCATCTTGAACAAAGCGTCGTAGGGACGTGTATGACGAACCGCCCTCCGCCGCTAGTGCCAGTCTGCTCTTTTCACCCAATTCTTTGGCCTTTTCCCTAACCGGATTCAAAGGATCCATAAGCTGCGCGATTCCCCGTTGAATCTCCGCCGCCAGCACAGTGTTTGAAACAAATTCATCAGTTCCGTCGGAAACCTTCTTGGAACCCAGCTTAATCTCTACCCCGGCCCCTATCTCCTTCACTAATAGGAAGGCATTGGCTTCTTGCTCTGCTCGGATAGGCCAGGTTCCGATCGGCTTCCCGAACCAGAGGCTCTCCAGAGTGGAATTCCATCCGCAGTGGGAGATGAAGCCCCCCACAGCCGGGTGGGCCAGTATGGCGACCTGAGGGGCCCACCTGTTGACCACCTTCCCCACCTTTTCCGTCCTCTCCAAGAACCCATCAGGCAGCAGCCGCCTTCCTTGACCGCCGTCATCTTCTCCTGACCGGAAGGCCCACAAGAACCTCTGCCCGCTCTGCTCCAGAGCCGTAGCGATCTCCTTCACCTGCTCCTCATCTTCAGCAGTGAAACGGGCCATGCTCCCGAAGCAGAGGAACACGACAGACCCCTCTTCCTGCCACGTGTCTAGCCATTCCAAAATCTGCCCTCTTTCGCCGCCGGCAGCCGCGGCTTCCAGGTTTAGCAACGGGCCGATGGGGTAGATGGGCGGGGCGCGTGAGTCCTCACTTAGGGCGTTGATCGCGTGTGATTCAAGCTCAAGAAACGTGTTGACCAGCACTCCTTTAGCCCCTCTGATGCGTTCGGAGATGCCGAGGAACGTCTGGAAGGAGTCCTTATTGAGTAGCGGCGGCGGCAGACACTTCGCCGGAAATGGGTTTAAGTAACTGGGGATTTCTAAAAATGGGGTGGAATTATTAGGATGATCGAATAATGATTTGATGGTCTGGAGAGAGAAAATGAGTAGCCCCATCGCCGCCGCGCCGGAGGTGAAGAACACGTAAGTTGGGATGCCGAAATCATTCCCGACGTCGACCATGGCCGTACAGAAAAAGTCAACCACGAATGTCAACCTTCCCGAGGATTGGGGGTTTTTCCCGGAAACCCAGTCTCTGACTTGGGGTTTGAAGTCGTCGACAGACCGCACCCCTGCTGCAGGGGCGTTGCCGGCCGGCGGCGAAAAAGTGAGCGTCTCAAACTTCAATGAGCTCGGATGGCTGGAGTCATCCGTGGTCGTCGTTTGGGATTGGATGTAATGGCTGATTTCGGCATCGAAAGACCGTTGCTGCAATATGAGAACGGTGACGGTTCTGATAATAACCTTATCGCTACCGCCGCCGTTGATCATTAAGCGCTTTGCCATTTCTACAGCTGATACTATGTGACCCATAATAGGTGTGGGAATGAAGACTAGCTCCATTGCTTCTTAATTAATTTGGACGAAGTATTGAGTTTCGATATATAGCTATTGAATTGTAATGCTCTTTCCTCTGTAATTTTGTGCCGAGAGTATAAATAGGTGGTGGTCTTACCAAAGTTGACTACGTCAGGCATGAGGCATGAGCAAAGTCATCCAAAAAAAGTTGCTAGTCACATCTAATTATTAGTATAACACAAACATCTTCCCATTTTGACTCTTCACGATTTTTTAAGTTGAACTTTGACTCTAAATATCTACATATCTATATTTTTAAAATTCATAATAAATTAACATTCAAATAATATGTTTTACAATGAGGTATATGAAATAAATTTTTAATCATAACATACATAATGTGAGTTTTGAATAATTAATGGTCAAAGTTTATAAAGTTTGACTCAAAAGAGTCAAACTGAGAAGATTCTAAGGTTACGGAGGTAGTAGTAAAATGTTAATTGTCCTAAATAAGACTAATACTTAGTCAATCAAGAAACCGGACCAGGAAGCGACCCGGCCGCGTGATCGGGTCACGGGTCAACCCGGTCAACGCTATATAACTGGTCAATCATTTAATAACAATAAACATATAATTGAATGCAAAATTAAAATAAGTGATAGTTATTTCATTATAATCAACTAATAACAATACTTAAAAACACTTAAAAGTTAGAAAAGTATCATAATATTTCCAAATACTATTTTGATCTTATTAAAATATACAATGATATTCCATATTTGTTATTTTTATTAGACATTTATTATACTCTATAAAATGAAATGATTTTTATTCTTTAACAACTAAGTAGTATATAAATATATTGCACATATTTTCTTTTTAGGGTATTATTATTGCAATTTTATTGGTTAAAAATGCTTTAAAATTGGGAGAAATAATTTAAATACCTTAGGCCTTGTTAGAAGGCAATAAACAGTTTTATATGTGAGGTGTGTACCCCAAACTTGCATATGTAATATATATACTCCGAAATTTATATAAAAAGTTATTTTCGCACCACGATTATATGTTTTTTACAAATACAAATTTATTGGAATAATTATATAATTTTAAATACCTCAGGCCTTGTTAGAAGGCAATAAACATTCTATAATTTCATTTGTGAAATACATAATATTACATCCGGCACAATTTAATTTCAATTACATCCTCATAAATGTTTTGTGTATTTAAAACTATGTATGTACTTAACACCATGAAATTACATTTATGAAAAATATATGATAATGGTGCTAATACAACTTTTTATATAAAGTTTGAGATATATTATTATATATTACATGTGCATGTTTGGAGTACTTATGTCACACCCTTCAAAGTTTGGGATATTTAAATTCTTTTTCCCTTTAAAATTTTTAAAAAATGGAAAAATAATGAAAAACGGGTTTCCCAGGTTTATCGAGGTTTTCGGGTCCAGGTTTGGACTGGGTTTTGCTGGGTCAGCCTGTTTTTTTTTATTTTGACCATTTTCGGATTTTAAATATACATCGACATAACATTTTAGGAGAAAATAATTAAAATACCCTAAACTTTGAAGGGGTGTGAGATAAACACCCTGAACTTTCATATGTAATTTAAATACCCCAAACTTTATATAAAAAGTTATTCTAACACCATGATTATGTATTATTTCTTTCAAAAATGTAAATTTATGGTGTTAAATGCATAATTTAAAATAGCAAATTGAAAACATTAGAATTATATACTCCGTATAATGGTGGGTAATACTATTTATTTTACAATGGAAGCTTAGAATGTTAATTGTATCTTTATGAATGCTAAAAATTATCAAATTATGAAATAAACACCAAAAATTAATATTTTTGAAAGATATAATACATGACCATGGTGCTAAAATAATTTTTTATGTAAAGTTTGGAGTATTTAAATTACACATATATGCAAGTTTGTGGTGTTTATCTCACACCCCATCAAAGTTTGGGGTATTTTAATTATTTTTCCCTAACATTTTAAAATTAGCACTATTACAGATGACTATTCAATGAAGACGTTTTGATGCTCAATTGCAGAGATTCAATGTTCAATAAAGGAAACTTGATGCTCAATGACAATGTCTTGATGCTCAATGAAATGTCTTGATGCATATTCCAAAGATTGTGATGCTCGTTGTTTGGCTTCTAAGATGATATCATTTGTGCTCCCTGAAGCAGAGAGAATAAATGATATTGCGATTTAATAAGAGAAAGAAAGTGACATTGATGATATGAAGCAGAGATCGCGATACTCGTTGTTTGGCTTCTAATACTCAATAGATAAGGGAAGATGCTTAATAAATACACTTATGCTTATTTAGCGGAAACCGTGATTTTCACTTAAATTACAAAAATGCCAACAAAATAAATTGCCCCTTCCGCTTGTTTTCCACCTCAAACATTGGCCGTCTTGATTGTGGGTTGTATTAGTTAATGGTTTTTTAACTTATTTAGACTAGATGTACGTGCACACCCGGACGGAGGATATAGGGATTCATGTTTTTGTTCCCAAAATAGGAGCAATTAATGCCAAATTTGGAAAATACTGTCATATTTAAAGTTTGGTACTACCAAAACATAACAATAATTAGTTCTATTTCGGTAAGAAAAATATTATAGTTCTATTTTAAAATATACGAACGTTTTAAGTTCTATCTAGTGTAATTTCCTTAATTAATTCTCTATCAACTAAAATTAATGAGCATGCATATGACTTATGAGCATGTGAGGAGCGCATATAATATTCCCTCTGCCCCAGATAGAACTTGATGTTTGCTTTTGGCACGGTATTTTAGGAACTCAATTAATAGAACACGTGTCTTGCATACCCTTTGACTTTTGGGGGAAATTAATGCTATCCATCCACTCAAATGTAAAAAATGAGTGTGTAATGAATGGTAGTTAAAATATTTAATTAAAAAGGAGTTGCCTAAAAGTGAAATGTAAAAGATTAAATGGGATGTCCCAATAAAGAAAGTATAAAGTTTGAAGTTGATTGGAGAAACTCAGGAAACGTGAGCCATGAGCATATGAAACCACTGTATTTGAAGTCATCCTAGAATTTAGGATAATTGACAACTTATAATTGGATCATCTGTTCCATTAAATGCGCATGTAATTTGACTAATTTCCGTTTTATAGCTGCGATATGATATTGTCATTTTGAAATTATTATTCACAAACCTTATTTTGATCATAATTTTCTATCAATATATCTAATTAAATAATAATATATCAAATATTATTAAATTTTTATTAATGTGAATTTTCAAAATATTAACTTCCTATAATATATTTTTTTCAGCACCGGTGGCAAACCATCCTAGGATGGGGTAAAAGCCGGGTGACACCTTACCAATTTATTAAAAGAACATATTACAAAGAGAAACTAAATAGGTTGAGCCTAATTAAAATTTAGCGATATTTCTTAAATAGGCTGGAACCTAATGGCAGGCCTTCTTATAATATTTCTTACGTAGTAATACGTAATAGTCGAGGACTAAAAATGAAAAAATTAAAAGTCGAATACCAAAAGTGTCACTGACACAATAGTCGACGGACTAAAAGTGGCAAAAACTCTTAAATATAATTACAATCAAAATCATGCGTTGGCAGCGTGAAAGTCAAAGGGTTGCAATTAATAAAGAACGGAAGTAGCTAGTATTTTATATTTTTGTCACGTAAAATTTGGAAAAAAAAAAGCATTTAAAAGAATATATCGAGAATTGACGGAAAAGCATACATGTTTTTGCTATTGCAATTACATTCAGATTATGATTCGCATTTGTTGATAAAATGGTCCAACACATCCCTGTCCGGACGCCGTCCGAACACCACCGTTTGGGGAGGTTCCCGGTAGAAGTTTTTGAAGAAATGTTTTGAGCATGTTCCTCATCAAGTCTAGTTTATCCATACCAAATTTCAGCTCAAAATTCGATCGGGAAGGCAGTCAAACAATTCGTTGAAGTTAACTGCGTTTTTCTATGTATAATTTTGCGCAGTTATCTTCAACGAATTATTTTACTGGCTTCCCGATCGAATTTTGAACTGAAAATTGGTATGGATAAACTAGACTTAATGAGGAACATGCTCAAAGAATTAAAAAAAAAATCCACCGGAAACCGCCCCAAACGACGGTGTTCAGACGACGTTCGGACGGAATGTTGCTGGACAGGAGAATGTCTCTCTCTCTCTCTCTCTCTCTCTCTCTCTCTATATATATATATATATATATATATATATATATATATATATATATATATATATTGAAACGTAATAAGGAAATTGTGCTATATAGGAATAGAAAATTTCAAATTATGATTACAATGTTTTATCACTAGATATTATATTACTACGTAATAATTACTTTTAAACTTGTAAAATATTGTCACTTATGACACTATATATATATACATATATATATATACATATATATATACATATATATATATACATATCTATATATATATACATACATATATATATATACATATATATATATACATATACATACATATATATATACATATATATATATATATATATATATATATATATATATATATATATATATATATAAGTGATCTTTTTATCTAAACTTGACAATAATTACTCATAATTAAAAATAAATAAAAACATTGTCATTTTATTTAGAAATTTCAAAACATTTACTTATATTAGGGGTATGGTGGATGCTATATGACTATATACCAAAGGATAAATAATACGGAGTATATTTAAATTTTTCCTCTATACACGATATATGAATTAATATTGAATCCTGTTAAAAAGTTAGAGTACAATATGTATATTACATTTCATTGATTCATGTCGTTATTTTATCATTTATTTTTGTTTGAACCATTCAATTTTAATATACTTCCTCTTGTAAAACTTTATCATCAACTTCCTTTATTTCTAAGTCCTATTTTTTTTTTTCATTTTCATTGACATTAATGAAATGTGATTAAAATTATTATGTCTTCTTTATTTCTCGTTTACTTAACTTTCAATCATACCGGCTTTACCGGAGTATTTCACTAATAATAGCTTTGTAATAATATTATAATTGGGTTGAAATTGGCGTACACATAGCTGGAAAAGGTGGTATCTAGGGTTCCAGTAGTGTTATATATACGTATGCACATCGTCATGCTGATCCATTCTTGACTTTTTTTTATTCCTTCTATTGAATAATAATAATAATAATAATAATAGTAATAGTAATAATAGTGTAGTGTTTATTCTATTATGCCCCTACAAGCGAGAGAGGTCCTGG